GACATATATGTAGATCAGTTACCGTCTTGATAATCTGACTTATGGAATCATCGTTTTGTATTCTGGCCATACTGTCTTCAAAATGTAGGGGTTCCACTACTAGTGGCTGATAAGGTCACCCTTTAGGCTGCCTTGAATGATTTCTATGAAAATTTAATTGGTGGCTACCATGGTTATCTTTTAGTCTGACTTACATTGATTTCTATGGGGTTTAACTACTGATGGATGCTAAGACCGTCTTTTAGTCTGCCTTGAACAGATTTCTGTGGGATTCAACTGGTGATGGATGCTAAGGCCATCTTTCAGTCTGGCTTACATTGATTTCTATGGGGTTTAACTACTGATGGATGCTAAGCCCGTCTTTTAGTCTGCCTTGAACAGATTTCTGTGAGATTCAACTGGTGATGGATGCTAAGGCCATCTTTCAGTCTGGCTTACATTGATTTCTATGGGGTTTAACTACTGATGGCTGCTAAGATTATCTTTGAATTGATTGTTCAATCCACATGTTAACTTATATTTTCTTTGTGAAGTCATATAATAATTATAACCCGTGTTTAGTGCAATTCATTTAATGACTGTAGCTTCTATTAGTGGAATAATAGCTTTGGTGCAATGCCAGTGTCTTTATGTTTCTTAAAGCACTTCCATTAAATCTTTCCAAAAAAAATGGTGTGAGTAGAGAATGAAAATCTTTTCCTCCTTACTGTAATTTATATGTTGATTCCCGTGTAGGTTTCAAAAACAATAGACATGCCATGAAAGTAAGCACGATCTCTCCACTTTCTTCCTCTTCAGCTCAATTACTTAACAACTTTGTCATTTAAAGTTGATAATCCTAGCGCAAGTAACCGTTCCAAGTGACCCTTAACGAACTTCTTTAATCTGGCAAAAATATTAAGTTCCTCAAGCGTTCCGGTCTTTCCCTTTGATATTACATACTCGGCCATAGTATGTCATAGTGAGGAGCTAGTAAGAAAACAATAACATAAAAAAAGTCAAGTTGCTCTACTCCATCACATTATAATCTCCCCCACCCCTGCCGATAGGGATCCTAATCCGCGAGTTGAGTGCCCTAACCACCAGGCCACTAGAGTAGAGCAACTTGACTTTTTTTATGTTATTGTTTTCTTACTAGATCCTCACTATGACATACTATGGCCGAGTATGTAATATCAAGGGGAAAGACCACCACCAGGCCACTAGAGTAGAGCAACTTGACTTTTTTTATGTTATTGTTTTCTTACTAGATCCTCACTATGACATACTATGGCCGAGTATGTAATATCAAGGGGAAAGACCACCACCAGGCCACTAATCAATCCCACCATTCGTCGGTAAATAGTATCCCAACAGTTGGCGGTGGGTGGTGATGACTAGCTGCTTTCCTCTAGTCTTACACTGCTAAATTAGGGAAAACTAGAGCAGATAGCCCTTGTGTAGCTTTGCGCGAAGTTCAAAAACAAACTAACTTCCTAGTTAATTCTCGTTGAACAGTAGTTCAAAATTAGAGAAGGCTATACCTGAACCACAGATGTCTCTAACCTGACTCTTACACACGTAGTGCCGTTTTTTGTTCAACATGCCAATACTTCCAAGTACACTGAAAGACAACTTTCTAACGCAATAACGTACTTTAGAACGACAGTGTTCGAATTGACATGTGCGTGGGAGGAGCATGCAACATTGTTACCAATAGTAAGTTTTTCTACGTTGCAAATAAGATGTTGTTGTTGTTTTTTGAAGTTAAGCACAAAGCTGCACAATGAGCTATCTGTGTTCTGCCCACCACAGGTATCGAAACCCGGTTTCTAGCGTTGAAAGTCCGCAGACATACCGCTGTGCAACTGGGGGGCTGCTAATAAGATAATGCGCGTGGAGTATCGCTTTCAGGTGTGACCTAATGGATAGCGTACCGAAGTGTGAATTTGCCCTATTGGCCGTGGGTGCGTTATACACGTGACGGTCAAATCCCACTCTTCGATTATAGTATTCCAAGAACTGACTATGAGCGCTGTTAACTAGTTGCCTTCCATATAGCTTATCAGTTCAAAATTATGGACGACTAGGGCTAGCCCAGATAGCCCTTGGGAAGATTAATAGTGTGATTTGACAATCATTCATATAATGCAATCACGGCCCCAGAAGTAGGCACACATTTTTTTTTTCCTTTGGCTACAAGACACACGTCGTGTCGTTTTCTGTCCATTTCTTTACTATGGACCCTCGAATCGACAGTTCGGTACCCTAAACACTAGGCCACACCTGGCTCGAAAGTTGTCTTTATATCTTATATAGCTTTGATTTAAAACAACAGAGGTTCGGTGGTAAGCTTTTTGGGAATATAAAGCTAAAATTCGAGGCTTGATCCCTGTGGTAGGCCCAACGCAGATGGCTCATTATGCAGCTTTGCGCTTTAATTTACAAACAAAAATGCAGAACAGACTTAGTTAGTTCAAGTACTCCACCCCCCATGTAATGGTTCGTTTAAATTTTCATAAAAGGTAATTTAAATTGTGCTTGTAATTTCAGCATACAGTATCCAAATAAAGTGTACATGTTCGTGATTTTCACAAACACCTTTTTGTTTTGAAACTTATCTTGTTTGTTGGTTTTGAATTTCGCGCAAAGCTACACGAGGGCTATCTGCGCTAGCCGTCCCTAATTTAGCAATGTAAGACTAGAGGGAAGGCAGCTACTCATAACCACCCACCGTCAACGACTCTTGGGCTACTTTTTTATCAATGAATAGTGGGATTGACCGTCAAATTATAAAGCCCCCACGGCTGAAAGGGCGAGCATGTTTGGTGTGACGGGGATTCAAACCCGCGACCCTCAGATTGCGAGTCAAGCGCCCTAACCACCTGGCCACGCCGGGCCTGAAACTTATCTAAAGTCGTAAACAGGGATTTCTAACTTCGTAAAAACTGGTTTTAAAAGTACAATAACGAAAAGCATTCCACCGACTCTATAATAATTCTACCATAAAAATGTAAACAAGACCTTCAAAATGATACTTTAACTTTAGTATTGTTTAGCTTTAACAAAAACAACAATATAAAAAAAGTGTGACATTTTCAAATTATTAAAATTTTCTCTTCTGTGAGATCATATCAATTTGTGAAATATGTCGTTAGTTCCGGAACTAAATATAGAGGGAGTTACCTCCATTGCATAATCGACTTCTATATGATAATTGTAACCTACATTGGGTGTTAGTCACACAAAAATATACCCTTTACACAGGAAATATGTTTCATGTAATTCAAAGAGTGGATACTCGAATCAGTGCACTGGAGTCGACATTGGTAAATGTTCTGTAAAACAGACTTGCCTGTCACGACACCTATACACATATAAGTTAGTTCTGAGGGCATGCTGGGCAGGATATTCACGGTAAATGTACTATCATAACCATACCAAAACATGCATGGATTTATGTTTCAATTACTAGGAAAAATGATTACGAAACGCAGATTTTCTGTTTGTTCCAGTCACATGTAAACACTGTCAATTAAATGCATAAAATTGGCTCCCTTCTTTTCAAATCATTTTAATTGTTGCTGTATCGATCAAATTATTCACATAAAGAGAGAGCGAAAAAAAAGCTCAGATAGTTTTGTAACTTACCTCCTAATATACGATAGGATAGTACATAAAAAATACTCTTTATTAAGCTTGTGTATTATAAAATATTAAAGCATCCCATCTCTTAGTTGGACGGTCCGGGTTGTTAGGGCGCTCGACTCGCAGTCTGCGGATGGCGGGTTCGAATCCCCGTCACACCAAACATACTCGCCCTTTCAACTGTGGGGGCGCTATAATGTGACGGTCAATCCGACTATTCGTCGGTAAAAAAGTAGCCCAAGAGTCGTTGACGGTGGGTGGTGATGACTAGCTGCCTTCCCTCTAGTCTTACACTGCTAAATTAGGGACGGCTAGCGCAGATAGACCTCGCGTAGTTTTGCGCGAAATTCATAACAAACAAACTTTGTTGGACAGTGTTCTCAGGTAATAAATGTCATGAATTTTGCTTCTATCCAATGAAATTCATAAATGTGTCTTGCGACTTTTTAGTTTTCCTCAATCTCTCTGACTTCGAAAAAGCAAGTGAAGGCTTTATGTAATTGAACAGGAAAAATAAAATTATATTATTTTGCTATGTTCAGCGGTATATTGTTCTTACATGCAGCTGGTCTGTTATTAAATTAGTTTAAAATTAGAACCAAAAAATATGAAATTCAGACGTCAAAGGTTCTGAAGCCTGACACACACACACTGCTTGTTACGATATACCTTACGGGCCGCAGTAATATTTGTTTGACAGATAACAGTCAGTCAGTACAAAAATACGAAGATGTCTGAGAAACGAACGTCGACGTTATTTTTTTTTCTTTTAATCATGTTAAGTATAAACACATATTCCTTTCTATTAGTAAAAAATCTAGTAGGCGTGGCGCCTAGGTATAATATGTAGGATATGGTGTATAATTAGTTTATTCAAATCACAAAGAAACAACTGCTTCTGGTAGTTTTCAGTTCTTGTTAGAATCATCCTCGGCTCTAGGATTTTTGTTCTCCATATTGCAAATTATCTGTTTGTACATTCATTAGGGTACTTCAAAATCTGGAACACTTTTGACTGTTATTGGTCAACATACTTTGAATAATAGACCTACAGGGGGAGTTAAAATTGGTTTCTGAGAAATTTCACACTTTTATCAGTCTTTTTTTCGTGGAAAAAAACAAATCCTTCGTCAGAAGAAACAGGAAGGAACGAAACGCAAGTTGAGTCCTCATTTTAATGAAAAATGATTTCGTTCGAAAACTTATCGATATATAGAAAACTAAAAAATCAGAAGATTGAATTAACCTAAATTGAAGAAATTATCCTCTGTGTTTTGAACAAATGCACTATCATAATAACACCAAAACAAACACAGATTTTTTTTTCAATGAATAGGGAACGTAGATTTTCTGTTTGTTTCAAAATATCAGTGCAATTAATAACGCCGCCCAGTAACACAGCGGTATGTCTGCGGACTTACAACGCTAGAATCCGGGTTTCGATACCTGTGGTTGGCATAGCACAGATAGCTCATTGTTTAGCTTTGTGCTTAACTTCAACAACAACAACAAAAACAGCAATTAATAAGCTGAAGATTGAAATCATGGAACATATATCTAGATATAAGTATAACAAGTGAAAAGTCGTTTTGATCCCTTGAAAACGAAGGTTATTAGTAATACTTAATACTTTAATGACGTTACTCCACCTTTGTCACATTTCACTTAACTTAGTCATTCCTAATTTGCCCCCAATCAAGAAAGGCTTAACGTTCCAAAGCGCTTGGGATATATAGTTTTTTTTTTATTTTGGTCCTTCTTTCCCCCTAACATCGTGAATTTATTTATATATATATCATTATTATACAACAACATTAAAGGTTCGGACAAATTTTTTTAACGAACGATAGGACTAAAATTTAAGTAATATTTGGACGTAAAAGAAAGAGAGATAAAAATTTTCCAAATGTATGTGTCGCAATGAAAACTTTTAATTCGATTTATTTTCAAAAAAGAAAAATTATTGTTTGTAATTATGCACAAAGCTACACAATGGGCTATCTATGGTCTGCCCACCACGGGTATCGAAACCCGGTTTCTATCGTTGTAAGTCCGCAGACATGCCGCTGTGCCACTAGGGGGCGAAACGAAAAGTACGTATAACTTTAACGAAACTTTAAAGTATAAAGAATTACATGTAAATATACATATATACTAACTTTGTACTCCACCAATTTTTGGAAATGTCCTGTTTTGTACTTAATTGAGTTATATTTACGTGTTATATTTTGTTGTATGACAAAAGCACGTGAAAATGTTACACCAGCGGCCCCCATATTATAAAGAAACAACATCACATCCAGATGTTATACCAGATGAAAAATGATGTTCGAAATATCTTTAAAATAGAACTTGAAGCTATTTATTTAACTCTTTTGCTTAAATTGAAAATATATACTCATTACGTGTGCTTCATTAGTGTTGAATGCACACTTACCTACCAGTTAAGATTTTCTGTTACTTTGATTTTCAGCTTCCACAGTAGCTGTCGCAAGTTTCATTTCTAGTTTGATATTTTTTTACTATTTAGTTATTTCTCAGTCAACAAAAAACGATAAAGTGTCATCCTGTAGACCAACACGGTTATTCCAACGCACCCCTGTCGTAGATACAATCACAAATTCACGTGACGTCTGCCGCAGGCAGTGACTTGAAAGCTGAGTTTATGAAAGTCTAATTCAACTTCTGATTGGCTCTTGGTCAGGATAGTTCGAATGGCGTTATGCATCAGCCACACAGCAGGTGAACTGGCAGAATAAGGTAGGGAAAGAGGGGTTGGTGATGGCGCCGGAAGGGAAAAGCCTGATGGTGGCATGCATTGCTTATGGCCCGACCGGTTTTACTACTACCACTCCGCCATGTCTTAAATGCAGTCGACTGTAGGTAGCGAGAAGTCGGCGTCACCAGTGGGTCAGTAGACAGTTTTGATTTTGGGTATTTTTGTTTTCTTTGTGAAAGTGAGAAATAACTAGTCCAATCCCACGTGCAGGGATGTAACGTCACCACTTCTGCAAAGACCACCGAACCACACCTGAGATTTCTCCAAATACGCCCGGGTGTAGGTTGAATACTCTGGTGGTTAGGGTTAACATAGTTTTTATCTGCCAAACGTCCGTCTCGCTTACATCAGGAGAATCGGGGTCTAAAAGGTAAGCTTTGCTTTTAATCACAGGCCATTGTCTAATTTGATGTTTCTTAGTAGTTGTTTTGGAACTTAATTCTTCTCGGAAACCTTAAACAGTTTTATTTTCAAGACAAACACCTTTGTCTAATTTTGAAGTGTTCTCGTTTTTAATTTTTTTCTCCAGATATCTTATAAAATTTGTCTCATTAGATTGTTAAAAAAAAAAAAGTTCAGTACTGATCAATATGGAGGGGCAGCGGTATGGTTGTAGTAATGGTCGTTTTGAATTTTCAACAGAAATCCAGTTGGGTACTTATCTTTAATCGCATTCGGTTACATATATAACTATAAGCAACCCAAGATATGGTGCTGTTAACTGGCTATACTATTAACCATATCGTTGATGTGAACGTGCTTTGTAGTCACTACAGAATAATAAAAACCTATACAATGGATAGGTGAAGTGAAGAAAAAGTGTCATTTGCCATTATTCAGTTCTTCACATTATTTAGCCACACAATAGCAAATATAATAATTAAACTTAGTATTCAGAAAATTGTTTAATCTCGAAGTTCAATAGTGGCCAATGACACTTTTTCTTCACTTAAACTATCCAGTGTATAGGTTTTTCTCATAGCGACTACAAAGCACGTTCACACCAACAATATGATTGATACTTTTCTCTATGGTACAAGTCCAGCTTATCTCTCGTTGGTTAACTTGTGTTCAGGGTTACTGATGAGGAGTGAAATTCCACGAAACTAGTAATAGAATAACCCACGTTGATCAAAGTCTAGATTGAACTGGACTTCCCTTGAACTTAGCCTTCGAGATTAAATACTTTTCGGAATACTAAGTTTATTTGTTATGGCTGTACTATTAGTTCAAAATTAAGGACGACTGTGCACAAAAGGCCCTTGTGTAACTTCGCTCGAAAATCTTCAAATATACCAACAAATATAAACTACGAAGAGCGACTATCAAGTGAAACATTGTGCTATTTACATATGATTTAACAGATTTTGATATTACGACTTTACACAAGCAAGTAGTAAGAAATATTAAAGGAAACCCGAGTTCTAGATTAATGGGAGGCAGAGAAGCCTCAGGTTTTCTTTGTGAGAGAATAAAAGATATATTGCTTTAAAGTTTTAAGTTGTAGAAGCATAAATTAAGAATTTTACTTTCAGGTTTAATGAACACCGTTAGCTTCTTAGAAATGGTGCTAAGTTTAAAATAGTTATTTTTGCTTACATAATAGTATGTAATGGAATGTATAATTATTAGTTGCGAAGTTTTATATCTTAACTAAGAAGTCGCTACTGAGCTGGAAACGATATATTAATAGCTGATGATTTTACAAACTGGCAACCTGCCAACTGTGAAAAGTAAGATTAAAGTTAGTAATAATACATCTACAACTTTCATCTTTTTATTCAGCATTTTAAAAGTCCTTTGTTACCATTAACTTTTCCAAGTATTGGACCCGCGTGTGAAAAATCTGGAATTGCCCATGTTTGAAGTCATTTTATTGTTTGCTCTTATGCCCATTCCTTTTCTCACGGAAAACAGTATTAGATGATAACAATAATAATATTCGGATGAGATAAGAATAATTTAAGATCGATTTTTTTAAATTTTATTAGATATTTATTTATATAATGTTTTTTTTTACCCTTCCGGTTATTAGAACCAATTAGAAGCATTCTTGCGAATCCAGTTTATAGAACATTAAAGAACAAGAGGCTGGATACAATGAAACCTCATCAGCCTCAGTTTTATCGGCATTGGTATTATTAGCAAGTTTTGCTTTATTTAAGGGACAGTAAAAATTGGCCATAGAAAGTTGTTTAAATTATTCCTATCGGATGTAAAGGTTTTTCAGGCTTTTCGCTGAGCGTGTACAACCTATAAAATATACGTGCTTTTATTTTGAAAGGCACTCGATATTGTCTGTAACAAGAGCTTATATTAGCTCCAGAAGAAACCATTTTGGGCGAGCTAAGTTTATTTAGGTATTTTATGATCCCACAATTAAACGGATCCCACAATAAAAAAAAAATTGTATCCCATAGGGATTTATCTTTCATGAAATTTTCAGTTTTCATGTGATTTAGGTTGTATGTGATCTCGCAGTGTTTTGATTTTACTGAAAGATTAAGTATTCCATGAAATTTGTATAAGCAATTTTCTAACATTTGTTTTCATGTTATTAGTAACCTGAACAGTTAATCTGGTTGCTTTGATAACTTGCAATACGGTATTAATTTTAAAAAAGTTGGACAGAAATTAGCTGCATTTTTGGATTATTCGGGGCACAGACAAATGGTGAAACGAAGATAGTGTTGCGTCATCGAGGTCACGTGACTGGTGTGGCGCCCTCTATTTTCTAGAACTATCTTGTTTTTTCACGAATGCTCTAGTATTTACTAGATAGGGTAGGCGGGTATATATAAGAGGGGACAACGTGACGCGAGGAGAAGGTAATGTGTGTGTAGATAGTGAGTAATTGATCTGCAGTCAGAAGTATTATTGAGCACGTTCGTTGTTATAGCGTTTGTTGAAGTTGAGTGTATGGGTAAAGTTGTATTCGGAAAGAATAAACCAGTTTTATTAAGTAAAGAACTTGTGTCGCTAAAGTTTTGTCGGAGCGAAGTTACGGAAAGTTAATTAACAAACGGAGACGTAACAATAGTTAGTCAAATATATCACCTCAGCATAAATATAAACGAAGATGGCGAGTCGGATGTATCACCTCAGCAAAAATGTAAACGAAGATACCACTGAGATGATCCAGGGGTGAAGGTTCTAAAGAGTTTGTGTTCAAATGTTGTGTTTTTAGCCACAGTTTAGCAGCTCGTAGAATGGCTCTTACGTTTTTTGATGTTGTTTTCAAGTACACACTTTTTGCTCATAGCTCCGTCGTTTCTTGACCGACTTGAGATCTAATTACAGTTTTGGACTCAGTAGGTCAAACCCTTTCGATTGATTATTTGAACACACCTAGAATCTTAATAGATTAATTTACTCTAACCCTGCCTAAAAGAATTTCAAGTTGAGGGTAGGCGGGTGGTAGAGATCCTGATGAGTAATAAAATCGAATCGGGTATACGTTTGGTATTGCTGGCCCACAAAAATAAAACAAATAAAAAGGAAAAAGAAAGTCTCATAGTTTAATTTACTTTAATCCTGCCAAAAATAACTTCAAGTACCGCGGCTATCGAGGATTTCCTCTTGTTTTCTGAAAGCAACAGGTAGATTTGTTGGCAGCGGGCTGTTTTTGTGTGTAATTACCATAACGGTAGTGGTTGTTTCGCCTAAACGGCCTTTCTAGGTATTGTGGCGCCTCCTACTTTTTATATTGCTTGTAGCATGACTCGAGTCGTGTTATTATGTCTTCCACCCCTATACGTGAGTTTATTTTGTATGACTCAGGCTTGCCTTGAACTGGTTTCTCAGAAGGTGATGTCAAAGAATCCGTAAACAGAAGGCCTTGAAACTGTACACGTGAATTGTATTTGATATTAACAGAAGAAATGCGATATATGATTAAATTATGTAAATATTATACCAAAAAGTTGTATCCACTCCCACACTATTCATTTCACTTTCCTCTAATGCCTTGCGAGGGGAAACACAGGGGGAATGGTTTCTTGCTCCCCTCCTGTATCGTTATGTTCCCGAGGGCACTAAGGGCACCTTCAATCGACCATCTGCGTGGTTGTCCCTTTGCTTTTCATCCGTTTATCTTTGTATTGAATGCTTTTTTGTGGAAGAGAATTTGGATGTTGTATAATTTGGTGTTCGAACCGCTTGTGGTCCTTTGATGTATGACAAGTCTGGTTCAGTTTTCACATTCTCTCTCATGTCGTCTCTTTCCTATTTTGTCTCTGATGGTAACACCAAGATTTTTTTTTACACACGTTGATAATTCTTAATCGTTATTTCTATACCAAGTTTATCACTTACTGCTAATAAAAGGCCGAGGTAGTTTTGTTTCAGGTGCTTTAAACTTTTAATACTATCACCAAGAGCTTAACGAGTGGTTAGCCAATCAGTATACGTTTGTTCTTGTAATGTTAATTTTTTTTGTTTGATTTTCTTGTAGAATGTTAATTCTTTATTAGACGCATTAAGAAAATACGGCGCAAATTTTTTCTTTGAATTTCTTACTTAAACACGTCTATACAGAACAAAAGAAAAACACTTTGCGAAATATATTTTGGTAACTTATCAAATTATACAAACCCTATAACCCCGAGCCCTTTCGAAATGTGGACCTTTCTTCTTCAGGGGCAGACTGGGAATGGTGATCTATAAATGTGTACGTTCAACTGATTTGAACGAACAAGAATAATTCCATGGTTTATTTAGAGTGTTACCTGGAAGTAAAAGTATTGAACTACAGAAGTATAGCTTTTGTATGTGTATTAAAGAACAAAGATTTGTTACTTGTACGTTACAATGTGCAATAGAGGGTTAAGCACGTCATAGGAACACATCGATGATTTATTTAGTATGGATAGTATACATTCTAGTAGACGTTAACCCTAAAGTCCCCGACATATTTTTATACCCTTTTAATACTGAGGGGTAGTATATCTATATATGTGTGTGTGTGTGTGTATAGCACCATATTCAGTTATTTTATGTTGTAGTTTTTCTGTTACAAAACTTTGTGTAAAACAAAAAAACTGGTAAAATACTGAGTAAATATCAGTCATTTGTTTATGTACGTAGCTTGTAATTTACATTAAAGGCCATTTTTCACTTGTTTGAACGCCTGAAACCTTGGATTGGCATGTGGGATGGTAAGCTTTACACACAATGCCAGCAATGGTAAGGACATTTGTTCGTACATCACCCACGTTGGAAGGATACACGTACTGTAGATACAACTGTGACTGCTCGTTACAACATGACGCACACCTTTCTGAGACACTTTCCGACATCTGTTCAGTTTTAAAGTTAACTACGTCATAGAAAGATATCTGTATCTTAGTTCAGAAGATCTTCAAGTCATGC